CACCTGCGCCTTCTGCTCGAACAGCACCGCGCGCTGACGTGGCACAGCAGACAAGCCAATGGCAGCATCCCACGTGGAAAGAGCAGCAGAAAACTCTCCTGCCTGAGGGAGTGGTAAGTGGGAGCAAGGGGGGAATGCAGGGGAGGAGGAGGAGAGGGAGGTGAGGAGGGAGCAGAAGCGGGTCTGTTGGGGGGCCAAAGCGAGTGGAACGGAAGTGGGAAAAAACTGAGAAAGCAACACGTGGCCCCACGTCCCCCACGTGCCCCCCACGTGCCTGTGCCAAGGCGTTTCCCCTTTGCTGAAGCTCCGTCGTCTCCTCAACTCTCGTCTTTCTCCTAGGTTCCGTCTCGTCTAGGGTACACGTGGCGTCTTCTCCTCGCGCCTCCTCAGCCACGGCCACGTCATCAATTGTAGGTTCTGCTGCCACGTCTTCGGGATCCCCGAATGCGCGGAGAACGGCATCGCCGCCCTTGGCGAGTCGCTTGCGCTTCTTTGCGCTTTTCGCGGCGGAAGTCCAGGCGATATGCATGGCGGCGACAGGCGGAAAGGGGGGGAAGCACGGCTTAGGGCGCGCAGAAGAGGGGGCTTTAGAGGCGCCTCAGGGCGAGCAGGCGGAGGGGAACTGCTACGGAACAAGCATACACTAGCAATCATTGACGCTACCCTGAACCACAATTCATGGAAGTAGGCGACATTGCTGGAGGTGACAAACTGGAGAGGTCGATTACGGGGGTAGTCGAGTTGATAAGCGAATCTACGAAGCTCGCTGCCTAATTCGCGAGACCAGTATTTTGATAATCGCCTGGAGAATTTCCCTTCATGCCTCCCCTCCGATGTTCAAAATCTCTAGTTGGCCTGAGCCGGAAAAATCCTGCTTACTGAATGTGCTCCGTTACTCGTTTGTGGCGAGAAATTTGAAATTATTCAGCGAAGTGCCATACTCATTTTGCAGAAAAATGTACCGAAAGCTTCACTGGCCTGAGCTGTACTTTGCAACTGAACAACTCATTTTCCGCCACGTGTCCGAGATGCACTGGTTGCATCCAGCGATGCGCCTGCCCTCTGCACCAGAATCAGCACTTGTGGCGCTAGCGACTCTCGCCTCTTCACGTAACCACATTGAGCGAAAGGTCGCCCCTCACATTTCGCAAATCTCAGCAAGCAGGGGCAGATTCCAACGCAAATCCCTTCAGGTGCGAGATACTGTAATCTGCCCCTGCTTTTGTGGATGCATGAACTTGCAGCGACCCATCAGCGACCACCACACTTCTCGTAGAATTCAGTCCCACAGCATCTCCGCGCTTCGCCCCGAAATCCCTCGCTCGATGCTCTTCGGCTTGCCTGCAGCAGACAGCTGTCCCCTCCCCCTCCCTGCATGAGCTCCGGCGAACGAATTGGGGCTTCTCTTTCCGCTTTGAGCGGCACTTTGATCGAAAGGAATCATTGGGCGCGCAATTCCCGCCCAACAGGTTTTGCTGGTAGCTTGGTAACCGCCAAAACGAGAAGCTGTCCGTGAAGCTCGTCCCTGAGCCACAAGCGTCACGTTCAACCATATCCCACAATTCACCGCGATGCAGTCACTGCCATCACCGTCGTCGCGAATCGGTCTCTCAATCTCCCGTCGATTCCTCTCTTCCAACAGCCGATCGCCCTTCACACTACCAAGAAACGCTTCCACCGGAGTCGCAAGCGTAACAACTGTAGCGAGCGCAGCAGGCGGCGCAGCAGACGGCACAGCAAGCGCCAGAGGTACCAGATCGATCTCGTCCGCGTGCTCGTCCGCTCGATCTCCGCTTGCGTTTCCCGCACTGCGCTCCGCGACTTCCTCCGCGCTTTCCTCCGCGGCTTCTTCCGCTCGCCGCGGGATGGCGTCGGAGCAAGCGCCTCCGCGCAACGTGCGGGTGATGGCGGAAGCGGATCGGGGGGCGGAACAACAGGCGGAGCGGAAGGGGGAGGCCCCCGGCGCAGCTGACAGAACGGCGGAGGAGAGGGGAGGCGGGGAGAGCGCGGGAAAGACGCACAAGTACACGAATCGACTGGCTAAGGAGCAGAGCCCGTATCTGCTGCAGCATGCGCATAACCCGGTACATATTTATCCCTCCCTTCCGCGCACGTTGTCTTCCCCTCCGCACAGCTCCCCTCCGTGCACGTTATCCTCCCCTCCGCACAGCTCCCCTCCACGCGCGTTGTCCTCCGTTCCGCACAGTTGTTAATACCTTGAAGCCTTTGTAAGCTATTCCTTCTTTTCTCCTTTGTCCCCTCTCCCATACCGCAGGTGGGAGGAGGCGTTTTGACTGACCTCCTATTTCATCTCCTATCTCCTCTCCCTGCCCTCTCCCATCTCCTCTCCCATACCGCAGGTGGACAGGTATCCGTGGGGAGAGGAGGCGTTTACACGGGCGCGGGAGGAGGGCAAGCTGATATTCCTGTCAGTGGGGTACTCTCTGCGTGAGATGCTGATCTGCTCCCCCTTGCCCCCATCCCGTCCCCCCATCCCGTCCCCCTCTTGCCCCTTCCCCATATTGTAGGTGGACTGGTACCCATGGGGGGAAGAAGCGTTTGCGCGGGCGCGGGAGGAGGGGAAGCTGATCTTTCTGTCAGTGGGGTACTCCACGTGTCACTGGTGCCACGTCATGGAGGTGGAGTCCTTTGAGCGTGATGACGTGGCGGACGTCATGAACGACGGCTTCGTGAACATTAAGGTCGACAGGGAGGAGCGCCCTGACGTGGACAAGGTGAGGAACGAGTGGGTGCTGACGTGGACAAGGTGAGGAACGAGTGGGTGCTGACGTGGACAAGGTGAGGAACGAGTGGGTGCTGACGTGGACAAGGTGAGGAACGAGTGGGTGCTGACGTGGTTAAGGGAAGCAGCGTGCTGTAACCTATCCTTGGTGGAGCCGACAGCTACTTCTTCTGTGAACCAGCAGATTTCGGGCTGGTGGGGGCTGGCAAGCCCACATGTCTCACAAATCCCTCCTCTCCCCTTTCTCTCTCACCACCATCCACCCCCCCCACCCCCCACCAGGTCTACATGACATACGTGCAGGCAACGCAGGGCGGGGAGGGTGGCCCATGTCCGTGTTCCTCCCCAGTCCTTGTGAATGCACTGTTCCCATGTCCCCCTCCTCTCTTTCCCCCACACCCCTCCCCCCTTTCTTCCCACCCCACCAGGTCTACATGACGTACGTGCAGGCCACACAGGGCGGGGGAGGGTGGCCCATGTCGGTGTTCCTCACGCCCTCGCTGCACCCTGTCTTCGGTGGCACATACTTCCCCCCAGACGACAAATACGGCCGCATCGGCTTTAAGTCTCTCCTTGGGTGAGAGATGTCGGGGGTTGAGGGGGCAGGATGCTTGGGAGAGTGCGGTGGGGAGTGGTGGGGTGGGTGGTGCTAGGGGGGGCAACTGGCCCATGTCGGTGTTCCTCCCGCCCTCACTGCACCCCGTCTTCGGTGGAACTTACTTCCCTCCGGACGACAAATACGGCCGCATCGGTTTCAAGTCTCTCCTTGGGTGCGCATTGGAGGGGTGCTTGGGTGGGGGTGGTGGTGGGAATGATGCGTGGTGGGGGTAGGGGGGGTTCTGGCTTGGATGAAGGCGGTGGGAAGTGGTGGGGTGTGGTGGGTGGGAGTTGATGCTCAGGGGGATGGACGCAGCATGTGCTTTTGCGTTTCACCCAGTAGGGTGTTTTCATGTTCGTTCTCTTTCACCCCACACCCCGCTTCCACTGATTTTGCATGCCTTTGATTGCTCCTCCACCCGTCCGTCTCTCTGCTCCCGTTTCCTCGCCTTACACTGTTCTCCTCCTCCCCCACTCCCCAGGCGAGTTCGCTCCGTGTGGGAACAGCGGCGCAGCGAGGTGCAGAGCGGTGCAGAGGACGCAATGGCACAGCTACAGGAGGCCATGCAAGGGGGAGGGGCGGGTGGGGGGAAGGGGGCGGCAGAGCAGCAGCAGGGGGGAAAACAGCAGGATCAAGAGGAGGAGCGGGTGTGGAAGCTAGCAGAGAAGGCGGTTCAACTGTGTTCAGAGCAGCTGGCCTCGCGATACGATGAGGACTTGGGGGGGTTTGGGTCCGCGCCCAAGTTCCCCCGCCCCTCCGAACTCAACGTGTTGCTGCGGGCTCACCTGCGGGGGGAGGGGGGTGAGCGGGGGAAGGGGGATACGGGGGCGGGGCGGAGGGTGGTGAGGTGGAAGGGGCTGGGGCCGTTACAAATGGTGGAGCATACTTTGGAGTGTATGGCAAGAGGGGGCGTGCATGACCACGTGGGAGGGGGCTTTCACCGATACTCTGTGGATGAGTACTGGCATGGTGAGGCGTGGTGATGCATGGTGAGGTGCGATTGGGCAGGGTGGCCAGCTCGTCTCGTGCATTCATCTGATTTACCACCCTTTCCTGTTATTTCCGGTTGTTTTTTTACTCTTCTCTTTCTTCCCCTTCCTCCACCTCCTCCCCCCATACCCCCATCTCGAGAAGATACTATATGATCAGGGCCAGCTCGCCAACTCCGTTCTCTCTCCCCTCCCCCATATCTCCCCATTTTCCATCTCCCACGACCAGTCCCACACTTTGAGAAGTTGTTGTACGATCAGGGCCAGCTCGCCAACGCCTATCTCTTTCCCCTCCTTTTCCCCCCTTCTCCCCCCTCTTCTTCCTCCCCATTCTCCTCAGTCCCTCACTTTGAGAAGATGCTATACGATCAGGGCCAGCTCGCCAACGCCTATCTCGACGCGTTCCTCGTCACCGGCCGCAAGGATTTTGCGCGCATGGGGCGGGATATTTTGGACTATGTGCGGCGGGACATGTCGCATGGGGAGGGCGGCATCTACAGTGCGGAGGACGCTGACAGCCTGGCGGCCATTGGGGACGAGCGCAAGAAGGAAGGGGCGTTCTACGTGTGGAGTGAGAAAGAGGTGGGGATGTGTGAGTGTGTGCGAGTGAATGTGAGTGTGAGTATAGGGATACCTTGGTGACTTTTGAGTCGACTCAAAAGTCACTCTCCGAGTGAATGTGAGTGTGAGTGCTGGGGATGAGGGCAAGAAGGAAGGGGCTTTCTACGTGTGGAGTGAGAAAGAAGTGAGTGTGTGAGTGTGTGTCCTGCCATTCATCCTTCCATCCATCCTTCCATCCTTCCATCCATCCTTCCATCCATCCTTCCATCCTTCCTTCCATCCATCCTTCCATCCTTCCATCCTTCCATCCTTCCATCCTTCCATCCTTCCATCCTTCCATCCTTCCATCCATCCATCCTTCCATCCTTCCATCCATCCATCCTTCCATCCTTCCACCCTTCCATCCTTCCATCCTTCCATCCATCCATCCTTCCATCCTTCCATCCATCCATCCTTCCATCCTTCCACCCTTCCATCCTTCCATCCTTCCATCCTTCCATCCTTCCATCCTTCCATCCTTCCATCCATGCATCCATCCATCCATCCATCCTTCCATCCTTCCATCCATCCATCCATCCATCCATCCTTCCATCCTTCCATCCTTCCATCCTTCCATCCTTCCATCCTTCCATCCTTCCTTCCATCCATCCTTCCATCCTTCCATCCATCCATCCATCCATCCTTCCATCCTTCCATCCTTCCATCCTTCCATCCTTCCATCCTTCCATCCTTCCATCCTTCCATCCTTCCATCCTTCCATCCATCCATCCTTCCATCCATCCATCCTTCCATCCTTCCATCCTTCCATCCTTCCATCCATCCATCCATCCATCCTTCCATCCTTCCATCCTTCCATCCTTCCATCCTTCCATCCTTCCATCCTTCCATCCTTCCATCCTTCCATCCTTCCATCCATCCATCCATCCATCCATCCATCCATCCTTCCATCCTTCCATCCATCCATCCATCCTTCCATCCTTCCATCCATCCATCCTTCCATCCTTCCATCCATCCATCCATCCATCCTCCCATCCTTCCATCCTTCCATCCTTCCATCCTTCCATCCTTCCATCCTTCCATCCTTCCATCCTTCCATCCATCCATCCTTCCATCCTTCCATCCTTCCATCCTTCCATCCTTCCATCCTTCCATCCTTCCATCCTTCCATCCATCCATCCATCCATCCATCCATCCATCCATCCTTCCATCCTTCCATCCTTCCATCCTTACATCCTTCCATCCTTCCATCCTTCCATCCTTCCATCCTTCCATCCTTCCATCCATCCATCCTTCCATCCTTCCATCCTTCCATCCTTCCATCCATCCATCCATCCATCCTTCCATCCTTCCATCCTTCCATCCTTCCATCCTTCCATCCTTCCATCCTTCCATCCTTCCATCCTTCCATCCTTCCATCCTTCCATCCATCCATCCATCCATCCTTCCATCCTTCCATCCATCCATCCATCCATCCATCCATCCATCCATCCATCCATCCATCCATCCATCCATCCATCCATCCATCCATCCATCCATCCATCCATCCATCCATCCATCCATCCATCCATCCATCCATCCATCCATCCATCCATCCATCCATTCATCCGTTGTTTCTGCTGTCTCCCCATCTTCCCATCATTGGAGATTGCTTCTATTCTTGGCCCTGCCACCCCTTCCCATCGTCTCTTCACCTTCCGCCACACCCCTTCACATCGTCTCTGCAGCACACTCTACGTGGATGGGAACATCAATCTCTTTCCTACTTCCTCCCCTCCAGCCTTCATAGCATCTACTCGCAGCCTTCATAGCATCTACTCTCAGCCTTCATAGCATCTACTCTCAGCCTTCATAGCATCTACTCTCAGCCCTGCCCCGCCACCCCTCGCCTTGGTCTCTTCACCGCACTCTACACGGTCCCGCAAGGACGGCAACTGCGACTTCTCACTTTTCTCCCACCTCGTCCCACCCAATCAATGCAGATTACGTCCATCCTTGGCCCCTCCACCCCTCGCCTTCGCCTCTTCAACACACTCTACACGGTTCGCAAGGACGGCAACTGCGATCTCTCTCCGCGCTCCGACCCGCACAACGAGTTCGCAGGGCTCAACTGCTTGATCCAGCGCTGCTCGCTTTCTGACGCTGCTAAGACAGTTGGAGTGCCAGAGGAAGAAGCGGAGAAGGTGAGTTGTGCTGCTGGGGTGGGTGTTTTAGAGTTTTCCTGGTTTTGGGCCGTGTTGGTTGCGTTCCTTTCTTAATCCCTCCTTCCCGCACCTCACTGTTCCACTCGTCTCCACACATCCCACCGTTCTCGCCGTTCTCGCCGTTCTCACCGTTCTCACCATTCTCACCATTCTCACCATTCTCACCATTCTCACCATTCTCACCATTCTCACCGTTCTCACCATTCTCACCGTTCTCACCGTTCTCACCATTCTCACCGTTCTCACCATTCTCACCATTCTCACCGTTCTCACCATTCTCACCGTTCTCACCGTTCCATGAATCTCCACAAACCCACTGCTCAGATGCTGGGAGAGTGCCGCAAGCTGCTGCATGAAGCCAGGTGCAAGCGACCGCGCCCCCACCTGGATGACAAGGTGTGTTCTGGGGAGGATGATTGCAGGTATCCTTTTCCCTTCCAGCTAATTTTGAGACGTCTCAAATCTAGGGAGGATGATAAGATCTATCCTTTTCCCTCCCGGCTTCCTTTTTGCCGCCTCTCACATAGTTCTTTTCCTTGAATGATGAGTTGAATGATGAGTTGGTTTTTGCCGCCTCCCGGCTTCCTTTTTGCCGACTCAATAATTGACTCATCACAAGCAGATGTATTCTTTGCCCTCCCAGCTTCATTTTTCCTCCTTTGCACATAGTCCCCCTCCTTTGCACATAGTCCCCCTCCTTTGCACATAGTCCCCCTCCTTTGCACATAGTCCCCCTCCTTTGCACGTAGTCCCCCTCCTTTGCACATAGTCCCCCTCCTTTGCACATAGTCCCCCTCCTTTGCACATAGTCCCCCTCCTTTGCACATAGTCCCCCTCCTTTGCACATAGTCCCCCTCCTTTGTTCCCTCCTCATTCGGCCTGTTAGGTGCTTCAAATGAATTCAAATGCTGCCTATCAAATGAATTCAGTTCCTTCCTTGACCCTCTTGATATCAAAAGCGTCAATCAGATGATATCTTCATCCACTCTTGTCATTCCTGCCCATCCCCCCAACCCCTCCCCTCCCCTATGCACGCACGCACCTCCATGACTCCCCCCTGACAGGTCATAGTGGCATGGAACGGCCTTGTGATTTCTGCATTCGCCCGAGCAGCTCGGATCCTCCAATCAGAGTCTGCCACGTCACCCCACTACTTCCCCGACGACGGATCCCCGCCGTCCGTCTACCTCGCCTGCGCCGTCCGGGCGGCGACTTTCGTCCGGTCTAAGCTCTACGACCAGGAATCTAAACGGCTGAGGAGAAGCTTCCGGGAAAGCGCATCGGAGGTGTGGGGGTTTGCAGACGACTACGCCTTCCTGGTAGCTTCCTTGCTCGACCTGTTTGAAGCCTCGGGCGATTCTGATTGGCTGGCGTGGGCCATGGAGCTACAGGAAACGCAGGTGGGGGTGCTGAGGGGGGGCACAGGTGGGTGATGATGTGGGGAAGACTTGGGCATGCGTATATGGTCTAGCTTTCGTTTGTACATGGGTATTAAGAGATTTTTCCCCTGCTTCTTCACTCTTCCTCTACCTCCTTTCTACCCTCTTCTCGCTCTACTAATCTCTCCTCTTCCATCCCTCCTCATCTCCCCCTTCCCCCTCATCTCCCTTATCTCCCACTCCCACCACACAGGATCAGCTCTTCTGGACGAGCAGCAGGGGGGCTGTTACATCACAGCAGAGGATTACGACACAGGGGGGCTGTTACAACTCAGCGGAGGGCGACCCCTCGCCGCTGCTGCGCATGAAAGAGGATTACGACAGGCAGAGAGCCTTTAGTTTGTCTCCACTCCTCCCCGCCTCACTTCACAGGACCAATTGTTCTGGGACGAGCAGCAGGGGGGCTGTTTCAACACAGCGGAGGGCGACCCGTTGCTGCTGCTGCGCAAGAAAGAGGATTACGTATGACGGGGCGGAGTGCTTACTTGTCTCCGCCCGTCCCTGCCTCCTGCCTCACCTCACAGGATCGCCTCTTCTGGGATGAGCAGCAAGGAGCCTATTTCAACACAGCGGAGGGCGACCCGTCGCTGCTGCTGCGCATGAAAGAGGATTACGACGGGGCGGAGCCCGCTGCCAGCTCAGCAGCAGCTGCCAGCCTGGCACGCCTCGGAGCCATGATTGGTGGGGAGAGGGGCGCAGAGTACCGCAGGAAAGCAGCGAGATGCGTGGTGAGTGAGTCGATGGGAGCAACAAAAGAGTTTTTTTGGTTTCTGTGACACATGTTCTTCTGTGCAGGCATTCATACTTGAGGCGCCTCAAAAGGCTTCTGAGGCGCCTCAAAAGGTATCCATACTTGGGTCCATAATATGCCAACCCCTCACCTGCACACTTCACGTGCTGCCTGCATCACAAGTCGTTGGGTAGAGCAGTCACGATTACCACTACTCCCCTGCACTCCCCTGCACTCCCCTGCACTCCCCTGCACTCCCCTGCCCTCCCCTCCCCTCCCCTCCCCTCCCCTCGCCTCGCCTCCCCTCCCCTCGCCTCCCCTCCCCTCGCCTCCCCTCCCCTCGCCTCCCCTCCCCTCGCCTCCCCTCCCCTCCCCTCCCCTCCTCGACCCTGTCACCCACTTCCCCCAATCTTACATGGTCTTTGAGGACCATCTCTCCCTCATTGCTCACGCTACCCCAGATGTGCTGCTGTTCTTTCTTGACGCTCCTCCCTCCTCCCCTACCCTCCGCTCTCTCTCCCACTCCTTCCCCCACCGAACCAAACCCCCTCAGACGGCCTTTGAGGACCGTCTTTCCCGCATGCCGCTCGCGCTACCCCAGATGTGCTGCTCGCTGGATCTTCTCGCTGCCACGTCATCGCCAGCTCAGCGCCAGGTCATCATTGCTGGCCCGAGGGACGCTTCTGAAACCGAGGCGCTGCTGAATGGAGTGTTTTCCGTGTTTCAACCGAATTGCACTGTAAGGGGAATGTCTGTATGGGGTGTGGAGGGGGATTACGTGGACTCTGTGGATTAATTAAGATGATTTTTTATTCTATGCCTTACTTGATCAATTTGCATGCCCTTTTTATCGCTGTACAGCCTTCCCCTGATCCCCCCTCCCTCCTCCCGCCCACTCCTTCCTCCGTTCTTCATTTTTGCTTGCTTGCCCAGATTATACCAATCGATCCTGCCAACCAATCAGACGCTGCCTTCTGGCAGCAGCACAACCCACGTGCCCTTGCAATGGCTGCCAAGGGCTTGGGTGATATGTCGGCTGCAGAGGCGGCAGTGCCTGCTGGCGTCATGTCAAGTGCCACGTCAGCAGCCTACGTGTGTCAGAACATGACTTGTCTGGCGCCAGTCTTTGAACCAGAAAAACTGATAACCCTTCTGAAAGGAGGGAATGCAGTGGGTTCCATTAATGTGTCGTCTTTTACCTTGCCAGCTGGTTTTGGTGGAAAAGGTACTGCTTAGTGTTGGCTGCAGGGCTCTGGCTAGGTTTTTGGCCCGTCTGAAAAAAAAAGTTGGAGAAAAAATTTTGTCTGAAGGAAATACGAGCAATCTTAGATGGTCTGATTTTTCAGATGAAACAATGGCCCTTGTCTGAATTTCTAGACTAAGGGCATGTTCCTACGGCCCCTTATCAGGCCAACCTCTTATCAAGCTCACGTCAAAACACACTGAAAAATCCCTAAACCCAAAAACCCTCGCTAAGAGGTTTGCCTGATAAGAGCGTGGAACATGCCCTAAACATATACACTTGACTGATGTTTCTATGGGATAATGTTACGAGTGCAATTGAGTAGACGAGCGAGAATTGCACTATCGAAGCAAGAGTGCAATTAGCGAAGGCATGAGCGAAGAATATATAGCGAAACTATAGTGGTAACAATAATGGACCGTGGTTGTCGTGTGACGGGCCTGGGACTGAGGTTGGGGAAAATGTCGAAGCGGAGGCCCGGGGCGCGGGTTACCCGCCGAGCCGTGACGTCGGGGTGCGACGTGCGAAGGTGGCGAGAGGATTGTCGATGCGAGGGTTGCGAGTGGTAACGGTGCTGACTGTGGTGCTACAGTGATGTACGCGCTGAGCAGGGATGCTAAGTAAGGAAAAATCATTTTCCTTATACTACTGATAAAATCCTAGCGTGACTTATGAGCCATGGCTAGTGAGTTCGAGGGTAAGGAAAGTATCGAGAGAGTTGAGAAGGAGAATGTGTGTTCACTATAGCAAGAGAGTACATATAGCAAACAAGTGAAGAAGGAGGTGCACCACCTATAAAGTTCATATCTACACTACAGCTAGAACTACATGCAGGTATAAGAATATAATTCTGACAACTACCCCCCCCCCCCTAAGGAGGTCCTCCTCACGAAAGTGCGTGTACATCCCTGAAGTTTCGGCTGCGCAGATACTCGGTGAGGACGGGGTGGTTTTTGATTCTGTCCAGGGGAACCCAATTGTCCTCGGTGGGTGTACGGTCTTTCCAGCGGATCAGGAACTCGATCCTTCGGGCTCCCCGAGGGTTGCGAACTCTGTGACTCAGAATCTTCTCGGAGGTGATGATTGGTTCAGTCGGCGGTCGTGTCATGCTGGCTGGGCGATTACGTGGGAGTTGGCTTGTGGACGGGATGTAGGGGCGAAGCAGGCTGACGTGGAATGAGGGGCTGACGTACCAGTCGGCGTGGAGGAGGAGGTGGGCGGTGACGGGTGTGATCATGTGGCTGATGCAAAATGGTCCACAGTATCGGGGGCGGAGTTTTGGGGTGATGGGCAGGCGGAGGTTCTGGGTGTCAAGTAAAACCAGATCGTCGGGCTGGTAAGTGACAGGTCTGCGGTGGTGGTCGGCATTACGTTTAGCGATGATGTTGGATTTCTTTATGGCGTCGGCTGCCCGGGTCCGTGCTGCTTGTAAAATTTCGGCGAAGTGTTGTGCACGTGGCACTGGGTTGTCGGGATTCGGGGTCATGGGTACTGTCGGGTCTTGTCCGTAGTTCAAGTAAAACGGTGACTACTGGGTCGTGGCAGAAGGTGCATTGTTGTACGCGAACTCAATGAGTGGCAGTTGCTGTTCCCAGGTGGTTGGGTCGTCGCACGTGGCTCGGATGAGTTGTTCCATGGTCTGATTTGTCCGTTATGTCTATCCGTCGGTTTCGGGGTGGTACGAAGAGCTGAACTGTAGTCGTGTGACAAACTGCTACCACAAGTTCCGCCAGAAGTTGCTGGTGAATTTCGTGTCGCGGTCGCTGATTATTGCTGCTGGTATCCCGTGCAATCAAACGACGGTGGAGATGAAGAGGCGTGCTGTTTCTTCGGCTGTGATTGATTTTTTTGCCGGCTGCGAAATGTGCCATTTTCGTCAGTCGATCGACGACGACTAGGATCGCGTCGTTCCCGCTGTCAGAACATTATAGCTTATGCATATTGTGTAGGCTATAGTGGGGTAGCCCATAAGGGGTACAACCCAATTAGGGTTAGTACTTGTACCCAACTCTTTCATAGTCATTTCATTCTCGTTCATACTCACATGGTATCGAGCAGGTTCCCTCGTGGGAACTGTTCCTAGGGCCCTACTATTGCTTCCGCTGCTACTCGATCTGTCGCACGCCCCGTGGCGTGCGACCTATTTTCATCTCGCCGCACGCCGTTGGCGCGCGGCGATTTTCTTTTTGGCGCGCGCCCCGAGGCGCGCGGCCCCGCTACCCCGTCGCGCCGCCCTAGCGGCCGCGTCGCGCCGCCCTCACGGCCCCGATCTGCCGCCCTAGTGGCCCCGTCACCTACCCCTGCGGCCTCAGCGCCGCCCTTCCCGGCCCCGGCTCCGCCCTTCCCGGCCTCGGCGCCACCCCTACTGGCCCCGTCGCCTACCCCGACGACCCCGACGCAGCCCTTCCTGACCCGGCCCCGCCTCTGCTGGCCCCGTCGTCTACCCCTGCGGCCCCGGCACTGCCCTTCCCGGCCCCGGCGCCACCTCTGCTGGCCCCGACGCCGCCCTTCCCGGCCCCGGCGCCACCCTTCCCGGCCCCGTCGCCTACCTCCCCGGCCCCGGCGCCGCCTCTGCTGGCCCGGTCGCCTACCCTGCGGCCCCGGCGCCACCTCTGCTGGCCCCGTCACCGCTCCACCCGGCCCCGCCGCCGTCCCCAAGCAGCCCCGCCGTCACCGCCGACTAGTGCCGAGCCACCCGAGCCACCCGAGCCGCCCGAGCCGCAGCGCCACCTCAGCCGCCCGAGCCGCCGGGTCGCCGAGCCGCCGAGCTGCAGTTGCTGCCGAGTCGCCGTACCGCCGAGCCGCCCGAGTCGCCCGGGCCGCCGAGCCGCCCGAGTCGCCCGAGCCGCCGAGCCGCAATTGCTGCAGTGCCGCCGTGCCGCCGAGCCGCCCGAGCCGCCCGCACCGCCGAGTCGCCGAGTCCCCGAGTCGTCGAGCCTGCTCTTCCCACCACTGGTGAGCCCCTGCCTTACTAGCGCGCTGCCTGCCGCTTGCTTGGCTGCCTGCCTTACTGCTGCTAAACCTGCTCCTGCTTCTACTGGCGGAGCCAGATGCAGCTCCAGCGACGCCCACGCGCGTCTCTCACGCCCTAGCAGCTTCGTGAGTGGTACGCTCAGAGTGGAGGGTCTCTCAGTTCTGTTCGTTGCTCTTACGTGATTCGCACTGGTGCTCGGACTGGTCAGCCTTGTGGGACACCTAGTCACACGCAGTCCCGCTGCTTCGCCCATCTGAGCAACGCCTGGCGTACCGAGTTTGGCAACGAGGCTGAGCTCCCCGACTGGGTGGAGTTGCTTAGGCAGAGGGTAGATATATTTGCTCTTGACTATGATGCTATTCTCACTGCCATGTATGCATCGCCTACTAGTGCTGACCGTGCCGGTCACCTGTGCGTACCGCCTGACCCGGGTATAGAGCCTGCTGCTCTAGCTGCTGGTGAGGCTGCTGCTCTGGGTGCTAATGAGTCTCCTGCTCCAGGTACAGGTGCGGCTGCTGCTCTAGGTGCTAGTGAGTCTGCTTCCTCAGGTGCGGGTGAGTCTGCTCTCTCAGGTACCGCGTCGGCTCCGGCCTCTCACACCTTCACTCTTGACTCGGGGGCTTCCCGCTCCTTCTTTCGAGACCGCACCACACTCACGCCGCTTGGTCGGCCAGTTGCAGTCTCTCTGGCAGACCCCTCTGGGGGTCCTGTCCTTGCTCACTTCTCCGCTGTCCTCCCGTGTCCGGCGACCCCCTCTGGCACCCTGTCTGGTCTTTACCTCCCCTCGTTCTCTACGAACTTGGTGAGTGGTGCTGACCTACAGGATGCAAGGGTTCACCAGTTCACTCCTGCGAGTCAGCGGGTGACCCACTGCACGGACGCTCGGACAGGCCGACACCTGGCCACGTTTACACGTCGGCCGGGGTCGAGCCTGTACACGCTGACCACTGCGTCTCCTCCGGTAGCTGCGTCTGGTCAGGTAGCTGCGTCGGGTCAGGTGTTTGCTGCAGCGTCCAGGTCTGGTCCGGAGTCTGCCCCCTGCTCGTGTCGTCTCTTGTCTCACGAGACTCTCCTCTGGCACCACCGCCTTGGTCACCCCTCCCTGCTTCGTCTCCGAAGCATGGCCTCCCGTGTCCTTGTCTCTGGTCTTCCCCGGTCCCTCCCTCCCCTTCTTCCGGGGCCTGGCCCTACCTGCGTTCCCTGTGTCGAGGGGCGGCATGTCAGAATATTATCTTATGTTCTAGCCTGTAGTGGGGTGCTCTATAGCGAGTACAACCCTTCTAGGGTTTGCTATTTGTATCCTCATTCTTGCTAGTTCAATCCCCTCTTTCTTTCTTCAAACTTTGTCACAGCAGTGGGCTGCCCCTCACTCCTCTCAGTTTCCTCCGACAGAGGCCCCGCTGCAGACGCTTCACATGGACGTGTGGGGCCCGGCCCGCGTCCGTGGACAGGGTCACGAGCGCTACTTCCTGCTGGTGGTTGACGACTACTCGCGTTACACCACAGACTTCCCCTTGCGCAG